CAGGCTCAGGCAATCCACTCACCTCAGCCTCCCAAAGGCGCAGGATTACAGGCTGAGCCACCGAGCCCGGCTAGAGATTTTATTTCATATTATTTTGTACCTTTCACATTTTGGACTGCCTCTTCACAAAAATAATTTTAAAAAATATTAAAATAGGCCGGGTGTGGTGACTCAAGCCTGTAATCCCAGCACTTTGGGAGGCCGAGGCAAGAGAATTGCCTGAGCCCAGCGGTTCAAGACCTGCCTGGGCAACTTGGTGAGACCTCATCTCTAAAATAAATTTAAAAATTAGCCAGGTATGGTAGCGTGTGTCTGTAGTTCTAGCTACTTGGAAGGCTAAGATGGAAGGATCATCAGAGCCCAGCAGGTTGACACTGGGGTGGCCGTGAGCATGCCACTGTACTCCAGCCTGGGTGACAGAGTGAGACTATAACTCAAAAAAAAAAAATTAAAATTAAAGCAAGGGCTAGAGGAAGAGGTATCAAGTGCTTCCTGTGATTTTTCTCAGCTGTCAGAAGGCCTGCTCTCCAAGTTCTCTGAATACCAAAATTGTTCAGTCTCAAGGTACCTCTGTGTATGGAACATTCTTTATAACCATGGATCTCCATCCTCATTAAGAAAACTGGCTTTGTTCTCTAATGTTTCTTACTATGCTCTGCCTTATTTTACTCTAAGAACTATATGTGTCATACTGTAGAAGGACAGCAAGATAAACATTGTAACTATGGAGTCTTGCCCAGAGCTTTTGATTTTAACTTCTGTTTGCGTTCTCCTTGCTAATGATCTGGGACTAACCCAAAACTTCGACATTCTTTTAAAGTGTGCTTTGTGACTTACAGTGGTGTCAGACTTTCGGCTGCAGTGGACATATAACCTGGGTAACAGATGGTTTTCAAGAGTACCTGTCTGGTCTGGATTAGTAATCTGTAGCAGCCTCTAATTTGTCTTTCATAACAGGAATGAATATCGGACACTGCGCCAGGCTATTATTGACATGGTCCTAGCCACAGAAATGACAAAACACTTCGAGCATGTCAACAAATTTGTCAACAGCATCAACAAACCTTTGGCAGCATTAAAAGAACATAGGGTAAGGGAACCTATGTTTGGGGCACATGAACCTATGTGTAGTGGAGACACACGGGCTACAGTATAAGCCGCAAAAGGGTTCCCTTCAGTGGGCTCGTTGACTTTAGTTTTTGCACTAAAAAATTAAAGTGCAAAAACTTGTTAGAAAAAAAAACTGGGTGTTCAAATAGAGGCAGAAACTCTGATTAGATGATCAAATTTCAGATGACCTGACTTTAGACAGGTAGACCATTCCTGCACCCTTTCTCACTGATGTCCGCCTCTCCCTTCTTGGGCGTTCTGGGGCCAGTTGGAGCCCTTGAGTTCTCTCACAGCCACTCCCACTGGGTACATTTTATGGTGGCAGCAACTGTCCTCTGTTGGTCCACACATCAGAGGAGGGGTGGAGATTGGGAAAGACCCTGTATTTGGGTCACAAGCGTGACGTTATTGTTGCACCTTATTTCTGCATTTGGAGCATGGATTGAATAGACAGCAGCTGCCTGGCAAGAATAGCATTAATGCTCTTGCCAGGCAGGAGACCCCAGCTGAGGAAACAGACCTGAGTTCCCATCTGAGTGCTACAGTACTATTTCCTTATCTGTAGAATGGGGATACTACATCTCAAGGCATAGGACTGATGGACATGGCACATGGTTCCATAACCGGTGCCTGTTCTAGATTCATTGTGAGATCAGCAGCCTAGAGAATGTTCTTTCATGAGCCCCTTCCTCTGAGGCTCACATATCTGCCCTACCACCTACCTCACATTTACTGGACAACTTGGCAGCAACTCAGTCTTCACTACCACCCTCCTCCCCAGCTCTTATCACCATCCTGAGGTATTTGCCACATCAGGGATGACTTAACCTCTCAGGCTAGGATCATGATTCCTTGACTTCTAACTCCATTTTACTTCTGCAACTCATTTGTCTGGCCATCTTTTCTACCCCTGGCTTTCTAGCATATTACCTTATATACTTTGATTTAATGTGATGTTGAAACCTGTTGAGACCTCAGCTCTCTCCACCCTTCCCTGTTCTCCCAGTTTGTCAGCCTGCTTCTGACTTCACTTTCCAAGAACTTTCAATACATGGATCCCCACATCAGCCGCTTTTTTCAGCTCCCGCCTTGCCGTGCTGGACAGGACTGGCTCACCCAGCCACTGCTCCTGGCAGACCCCATGCCACAGAAGGAAACCACATACCTCGTAGATTTGTTTTTTTCCAATGAGTCTGGGCAGTCCTCAGGCTTAGCCGAGTTCTCTGCTCCACTTCACAGTTATGTTTCTCATCTCTGTTGACAGCATTTGAGGTTACTTCTGAGAGACTGAAAATTAATATCCAGTGGGCCAGAGTAGGGGCAAAGTAACATGAAAGAATAGTTTCCAGACTGGCAGTATTAAGCTACAATCACACCAAAGGTATTAAAAGATCTGAAGAAAGAAGGGCCATCACACAGCTGGTCTGCAGTAGAAACCTGGAGCAAGGAGAGTACCACAGCAGCCTTGGGGTAGTAGTCATTTTGGTATTGTCCAGGAAGACTGGGCAGCCTAGTCCTGACTGTCAGATCTTCTTAGACTACTCTTACTGCTTATTGGAATCACATGACTAACTCCTCTGGAAGCTTGTTCAATGGGCACAGAATCAGATTGCTTGCTCTGGTCTCTGTCATTGCTGTCTGCCCCAGTACTCTCTCTTCTAAATTGAATTCTCATCAGAAGGCCTACAGCTAGAGGGTCCATTACATTATGGATTGAGAATCTGTATCCAGTGGATACTGTGAGTGGAAGGTGGCCTGGGACTAAAGGTAGAACTTAAGTTCTTATCCTGATTCACTGGGTAGCTTCACAAGACCCAGCGTCCTCATTTATGAAATGCAATAGTAAATAATACTTTTCATGCTTACCTTAAGATCTTATGAGTGCAGATCAAAAGAGAATGACTGTTAAGTCCTTTATACATCAAAAATGTTAGCACAGTATAAGAGAGTGGCACTATATCTGCCACAATCTTGGAATACTGAAGATTGATCCCCAAGATCATGCCTATCACAGGACTGGGTCAAGGACTGGGTTGTGAGCAGCAGGGAGCCAGGTAGACTGCAAGAGCTCATTTGTTGTGAGGGCAAACAAATGTTTTATTTTTCAGTTTATGCCTGTTTTATGCAGTCTTTAAGTTCTTACCAAGGGGGAGAAAGAGAAAGATAGTGAAATAAGAAGGAAAAAAAGGGCAAGTGTGAGAAAGATTTAGTAAGAGGAAGAGAAGAAAAGCAAGGAAAAGGGGAAGGGCAGATATACCAACCCCTATTGCTGTCCGCCACTCCTGGGTCCTGTTGGTTTCCTCCTCCATAAAATGACATGCCAAGCTCAATGCTCATATCCTCAGCACTATTTTGTGAGATCCTTAACTTATAGATCCCAACCAGTGCTCTTTTTGTGCTTACAGTGTGATGACACTGGTAAGAGAGGGCCTATCAGCAGGTGACCCATTTTGATTGCTTTGAATTCCACTGATGTTTTAGGAAACTGCTAAAGATCAGGAAGCTATAAACACTATGCTTAGGACTCCAGAGAACCGGACTTTAATCAAACGAATGCTGATTAAGTGCTCTGATGTGTCTAATCCCTGCCGATCCCTGGAGCACTGCATCGAGTGGGCCGCACGCATCTCAGAAGAATATTTTTCTCAGGTAAGATGCTGCTTCTTATGTTTCTAGAGAGAAAAAGAAAGAAAACATAAGACTATAAGAGATAATGGACTTAAAACTAGGAAATAGGGTTCTAAATGAAATCTTGTCCTTAAAGAACATTTCTTGTATTGCATGTTTACTGCTAATGATTTTTTCCTTCTGTGAGTATTTGTTTATTTTACCTTCACTTTTGCAAGATGTTTGTGCTGGATTGATAGATTTATCCAAAAAGCACTTTAAAGGAGGCATCTGATTGCCATATTGTCTCTAGGTAGGAAAAAATGATCTTGGGGCAGAAAAAAAAAATTAGAAAATATACTGGCTAAAATTTTTTCAGATTGGTAGAGAACATATGCATACAGATTCAAGAAGCCCAGTGAACACTACACCATGTCAGATATGTCATAGTCAAGCAACTAACAAGTCAAAAATAAGGGTAAAACAAATCTTGAAGTCAGCCAGAGAAAAATAATACATCACTTATAAGAAAACAATGATTCTCATGGTTTCTGACTTCTTATCAGAAGCTATGAAGGCCAGAAAACACTGGAACAATATCTTTTTTTTTTTTTTTTTGCTGGAACCAAGAGATTTATTAAAAGGGGCAGTTACAGGAAAGGACTGTAACCGAGGAAGAGCAAGAGACTGGAACAATATCTTTAAAGTGCTATTAGAAAACTAATGACAACCCAGAATTCTGTAAAATTTCCTTTAAGAGTTAAGGCAAAATAAACATTCTCAGATAAGGAAAAACTAATAGAATTCATCACCAGTACACCTATAAAAAATGTTAAAGAAAGTTTTGAAGGCTGAAAGGAAATGATATCAGATGCAAATATGGATATTCAAGAAGGAATGGAAAGAATTAAAAATGGCAAATATCTGGATAACTATAAAAGACTTTTTTGTTCTCTGAATTTATATTGATACATAGGACTATTTTACACAAAAGTTAAAACATTGCACTGTGTGTTGTATAATGTACATAGCTACAAGATATATGACAGCATACAATGACATTAAGGATAAGAGAAGGTAAATAGACCTACATAAGTCTAAGGTTTATAATTGTAACAATATTAACTCAGGAGACTCAAAAGTAAAGGGCATGTATTGTAATCCCTAGAGCAATCACTTTAGTTTAAAAGCTAACCAAATTATTATATGGCATTCCAAAGTATCCAAAAATAATACAAAGACAGCAGGAAAGGGGAGACAGAAGAACAAATTAAAAATGATAGCTTTAACTAATCATACCACTATTTTCACTAGGTATTAATAGACTAGACACTGCAATTTAAAAAGTGTTCAGGCCAGGCACAGAGGCTCACGCCTGTAATCCTAGCACTTTGGGAGCCTGAGGCAAGAGGACTGCTTGAGCCTAGGAGTTCAAGACTGGCCTGGGCAATATAGCAAGACCTCATCTCTACAAGAAATCAAAAAATTAGCATGCTGTGGTGGTATGTGCCAGTAGTCCCAGCTACTTGGGAGACTGAGACAGAAGAATTGCCTGAGTCCAGGAGGTCAAGGCTGTGGTGAGCCATGATCGTGCCACTGCACTGCAGTCTGTGTGACAGAGACCCCAACTCAAAAAATAAAGTAACATTAAAAGTGTTCATCAGAGGGTAACAACCTCCTTGAGTCCCCTCCAGCTCTGGGAGCTTTTCTATCTTCTCAATAAATCCTGCTTTCTCAAAAAAAAAAAGTGATCATCAGAATAAGTTTTTTAAAAAAGATACCCAAATATATGCAGTCTACAAAAGATACATTTGAAATATAAAGAACAGATAAGTTCAAAGTAAATGAATAGAAAAAGATATATCATGCAAATTAAAAGTGTAAAAAGACTGGGATATTTATCATATTAATTTCAGACAATATACATCAAGGCAAAGGATATTTATTATCAGAAATAAAGTGGGATATTTCATAATGATAAGAGGGTTCTGTAGGTAGACATAATCATAAGTATATGCTTCTTACATTAGAGCTTCAAAGTAAATGAAGCAAAATTGACAGAATCAGAGAGAAATAGTTCTATAATCAGAATTAGAGATTTTAACATCCTTTTCAGCAGCTAATAGTACAACCAGACTAAAATGTCAGTGAAGGCCAGGCACAATAGTTTACACCTGTATTCCCAGCACTCTGAGAGGTCAAGGCAGGAGGATGACTTGAGTTCAAGAGTTTGAGACCAGCCTGGGCAACATAGTGAGAGCTCATCTCTACAGAAAATAAAAAGTGAAATAACTGGGCATGGTGATACTCACCTGCAGTCTTAGGAAGCTGAGGAGGAGGATCACTTAGGAGTTCAAGGTTGTAGTGAGCTATATCACACCACTTTGCTCCAGCCTAGGCACCAGAGTGAGATCCTGTCTCTAAAAAATAAAAAAAGAATATCTGGGAAGACACAGATAATCAGAATACTATCAACCACCTTACCTTAATAGTCATAGAACTTTATACTCCACATCTGCAGAATATGCAATCTTTAAATATACATGAAACATTCACCAAGGTAGATCATATGGTGGGTCACAAAAGGTTTCAATAATTTAAAAGAGTATGTACTGTGGTCAGAGTACAATTAAAATCAGAATGCAAACAGTAAGAAATCTAGGCAAATAAATACTTGGAAATTGAACCCATGGTTCAATTAACAAGAGAAGTTAGAAAATACCTAGAATTAAATGATATTTAAAATATATAAAACTTTTGGGATACAACTAAAACAGTGCTTAGAGGGAGATTTGTAATTTCATTTTATTATTAGAAAAACCCCCTTTGGGAAGCAGTTTGGCAGATTTTTCTTCTTTGTTTCTGGTAAACCTTACATAACATAAAATTTATCATTTTAGATCATGTGTTTTTTTCCTTCATTTTCTTAATGTGGTATATAACATTGACTGACTTCCATATGCACAGCTATCCTTATATTCCAGGAATAAATTCCATATAGTCATGGTGCTGAATTGGGCTTGCTAGTGTTTTGTTGAAGATTTTTGTATCAGTATTCATAAGCAATATTGGTCTGTAGTTTTCCTTTAATGTCTTAGTCTGACTTAATGCTGGACTCATCAAATGAGTTAGGAAGTGTTCCTCTCTTTTCAATTTTCTGGAAGAATTTGAGAAGGACTGACGTTCATTCTTTAGCCTCTGTTCCAGAAAGCCCCTCTGCCTCATTGCTGCCCTGTGGGCCTCACCCTTTTTCCCAGGACTTTTGGGCAAAAACTGCCAAAGAAAGAATAAGAAGCTTGCCTTTTCCCCCAGGATCTTAATTATGTTTTCAGTTTTTTGCAAGTCTCTCTGGAATCCTGAAGATATTCTGGAAGTGCTCTACAATGGGCAGATCTATGCAAACCTACCTGCAAAATCTGAGGAAGCTTAGAAGCCAAAGAAGGATGCTGACATATCCAGTTTCCCAGAAAGAAACATTTAATAGGAACTTAGGAGCAGAAGCCACTTTGTGTCTTGGGCAGAAGCAAGACGAGATGGTAGATCCCCATGCCATTACCCCCTAGACCCAGGACTCATAAACCATAGAGAAGGAATGTGTAGGACGATTGAAGTACAATAACATTAAGGTTGCTTTGACCTAAGGATAAGATTTACACTAAGTTTGTGCTCTTGCACAAGGAACAATACATACATAAACTGGAAATCATAGAGCCCTTCCTGGAATTGGAGTTAATCAGAAGCCAACATGGTGTCTTAGCTCCAATATGGAGCTGCCTTAGCCTCTACAAAGAGTTTGACTAAAGTACACAAAAACTCTTCAGAGCTTTTTTTGTTAGCTTCTGGGATCTCAAGGGTATTCAGCACCTTTTCAAATGACATAATCCAGCCATAGATGAGAAGCAGCCACTTGGCCCTTCTCTGTGAAGTAGAGGCAGTGTTTCTCACTTATCACTGTGGTTCCCATGTGGGGGAACTTCAAGCAGTTGCTGGATGGAAGGATGGCTGGATAGTGATAGGAGTGAGAAGTAAAGAAACTTTTCCTCTCAGGAATACAAGCCCTTTTAATAATTATCAAGCCCAGAGGAGCACTGAAATGTGACAGCATTTGACAGCAGCTATGTCTCCCTGCCCCGGTTGGGCTGAGGAATCTGCCTACTCTGTGGACTCTACCCCAGATGTCACCACCAGTAGCCATAAATTAACAGTGCCACACGCTGGACACCTAGAGTCACTCAACAACATATAGCCAATCGCTAATTGGTGTTATTTCTATAAACCAAAAAAATTTTCTGACAAACAGCTTTTATAATTGCCCTCCTCTCCTAATTCATCCTTTTTTCTCTTCTCTTTTCTTTTTTGGAGTTGGGAGTCTCACTCTGTTGCCTAGGCTAGAGGGCAGTGGCAAGCTCACGGCCACTGCAGCCTCGACTTGCTGAGTTCAGCCTCAACCTGCTGGGTTCCTTCCACCGCAGCCTTCCAAGTAGCTGGAACTACAGGCATATGCCACCATGCCCAGCTAATTTTTTGATTTTTATTGTAGAGATGAGGTCTCACCAAACTGCCCAGGCTGGTCTCGATCCTGTGGGCTCAGGCTATCCTCTCACCTCAGCCTCTCAAAGTACTGGGATTATAGGTGTGAGCCACCATGCCCAGCCCCTTTTTTCTTTAAAAACTTGAGCCTCTCCTTTATTCTTAAGCACACTTCCCAGTGTTTCCTGGGCATCTGTCCTTAACCTTGACCCAAATAAACTCTATATCTTGTCTCAGTTTCTTTCGTTAGGTCCGCAGAGACAACAGAGAGGTGCCTAACTACACATACTGTTGGGGATCTTACCTGAGCAACTTTTGCAAGACGTCCAGGTGTTGAAAATATTGGGTTGGGGCGTCCTCAGGCCCCTGCCATGGAGTAGTTTCCACTCTGAGAACAACTTGATATCTGGCAGCAGATCTGATTTGGTTGGCTAATGCTGCCATTGGCTTCCCACCACAAACCACCTCAGGCTGCCAGGAGAGGCTGGCTCCGGTAAAAGGGCTGCTCCAAGGTGGAGTGGAACCAGATGCTGGGGTCTCCTGATCACAATGTTTTCTGCTTTGCAGACTGATGAAGAGAAGCAGCTGGACTTACCTGTGGTGATGCCAGTTTTTGACAGAAATACCTGCAGCATCCCCAAGTCCCAAATCTCTTTTATTGACTACTTCATCACAGACATGTTTGATGCTTGGGACGGTAAGAAATATTAGAACATATTTTCCTTCAAATAATGGGGAACTGCATATTAACTAGAAGACAGTGCATTTGACTCTTGACTGTGACTTGGGCCTTAGACTTTTAAGAATGAGTGAGGAAAAGAAATGAACCATCCTGAAGGCCCCTGAGAGCTGGATGCTCTCTGCATTTCCTCATGAGCATCCCCCACACAGGTATAGGCATCTTCATACCTGTTTTATGAATGAAGGAATTGAACTTGGGGCCCCACAACAAGCAGCAGAGCAGCCAGGGCTCAAAACCAACAGTGTTGACTCTAAAACACCAGGTTTATATAGGACCGCTTTGTCATCTATTCTTAGCTTCTCCCAGGCCTGTCCCAGACCAGAGGGGTTGGTCTCTCTCTGATACTTGTCACTCTCTAACCTTCAGGTGGGGAAAAGGAGCCTGTCAAGTAAAAGAGAAGAGGATCCCACTACTTAGCCCCAGGGGCTGCATCTTAGCCCCAGGGGCTGCACCCAGGGGAGGGGCTGAAGGGCTGATAAATGACCAGATCCAGGGACTCAATTCAGATCCAGTGAGGAGATAAGCCTGTGTCTCAGGGAGGTTGTAGGGTGTCTGAAGCAAGCGGAACAGGGTATGTGGTGGTGGCAGGTCTGAGGCGATGGGAAGAGCTGTGCCTTTTGGGGCAGGCCCTGTAGCCTCCTCCTGTTTCTGGGACAGCCCAGACCCAGGCCCCTCCAGGCCTGTCCTCTTCACGTGGTGCAGCTGGAAGGAGCTGACCATGTATGTGAAGCACTTGTCAAGTGGGAGGGAACACAGAAGAGCCACTCAGAGCCTGGCCCAGGTACTGCTACATGAGGTGGAGGGCATACTACCTTTTGTTTCCTGGCACCCACCAAGGGTGCTGGGTTAAATGGCAATTACACAGATTAGCTGTTTTCTCTTGTGTTGACCGCCGTTCAATAGGTTGTCACAGAGGAGGTACAGGCACTGAGTACAGGACTTTCCTTCAGTGACTGCGGTTCCTTCAAGTCACTGGGCGTTTGCCCAGGTCTGTTTAGCATTGTGCATATGCCTGCTCCTGTTTGTACATCTTCTTAAAGTTGCTCTCATTAGAAAGCCTAGACCTAGCCAGGCGTGGTGGCTCACGCCTGTAATCCCAGCACTTTGGGAGGTAGAGGCAAGAGGACTGCCTGAGCCCAGGGGTTCGAGACCAGCCCAGGCAGCATGGCGAAACCTCATCTCTACAATAAATCAAAAAATCAGCTGGGCGTGGTGGCACTCACCTATGGTTCCAGCTACTTGGAAGGCTGAGGCGGAAGGATCACCTGAGCCCAGTAGGTCGAGGCTGCAGTGGCTGTGAGCGAGCCACTGCACTCCAGCCTGGGCGACAGAGTGAGACTCCAACTCAAAAAAAAAAAAAAAAGAAAGAAAGAAAGCTTAGACCTGTAAACCAGTGCTGTGAAAAGGTATCGCATTCCCATCTTTTTCTCCAGTCTTTGTAGACCTGCCTGATTTAATGCAGCATCTTGACAACAACTTTAAATACTGGAAAGGACTGGATGATATGAAGCTGCGGAGCCTGCGACCACCTCCTGAATAGTGCAGGACACCACCAGGCCCTGAAGCTTTGACCCTGTGGTCATCGGAATCCCTGAGGGCCGCCAGAGTTCCTCTGGTCCTTTCTGTATTAGGCAAAACTGTCCCCTGGTCTGCAGAGACTATGAAAGCACATGGGGACATCAGTAACCTTCTGCAGCCACTATCCGATGCCATCGCCATAAAGTGAGACTCAGGCCTGCTCAGGAAGGCATAGAAAAACCATAGTTTGCGTTAGCATCCTGTAAAAACACAAGATTTGGAGTGCCCCGCAAAGGTATGGATGGATTTCCTCAGTGACAGAGAATGTCTTACTGCAAACAACTTCTCAGTTATGTTCAGCACGTAAGAACAGCTAATGGCAATCGGATATTTAGCAACTTTTCGCATCATAGAAGGTGCAATCACTCACTTCGGAACACTACTGAAAGTGACTTCTCTTTTAAAATTGAGTAGCAAATAAAAAAAATTGAAGTTGATTATTAATATCAGTTATTAAAATGTTTTATTTATTTTATTAGAAGTTCACTATTTTCTATGAATTTAAAAATACTTCAAAGCCAAAGCCAACTTCAAATACCATGACCAGATTTACATGATTCATATTCATTATGCATTACTTGGTATACAGACTTATTTTCATAATGCGAATTAAAATATAAAGTGACATTTTTACTGCACTATAGAAATATGTGTATATGTTAAACTCTTCTGATTAAGACTAATTAGAAAAAGTTGTTTTGCGGGCGGGTCTGATCCTGCAGAGCTAAAGGAGAAGGCTGCTTGGACTCTGCAGAACCCAGGGTTCTGAGCAGCTCGGGCATCTGATGAGCTTGAAGGTGATGCCCCCAAGGTAAAATGATACTCTTCTTGGTGCACAAAGAAAAATTAGGAGTCACACTTTTTCCTAAAAATTTGTAATTGAATGTCCAAAAGTCTGCCTTATTTTATACTGTTTCTACAAAATATTCCCTATAAAAACAAAGAGCAAAATGGAATATTTAATGAATTGACATTTTTATAACCAACTTGTTTTCATCAGCAGTGGTAATCTTTAATTCCAGAAATTTATAAAGGTTCTGTATTTTCAGATTTTAAATAAGCATAATACCATAAAAATGGCACTTGATGACATGTCAAAGTGTTTGTCATATCATTTTAAACATGTATTTGTGGATTTTTTCCTCAGATAAAAATGAAATTAAACTATTTCTTTTTAGAAATTGTGTGGTTTAAAAAAAATTTTTGTTTTATAATATTTATGTAATCTTTTCTTTTTTTTTTTTTTGAGTAGGAGTCTCACCCTGTCAGACTCCCTGTCACCCAGGCTGGAGTGCACTGGCACGCTCATGGGCCACTGCAGCCACAAACGACTGGGCTCAGGCAGTCCTTCCACCTCAGCCTTCCAAGTAGCTGGAACTACAGGGACGTGCCACCATATCTGGCTAATTTTTTGATTTATTGGAGGGACGAGATCTCGCCAAGTTGCCCAGGCTGGTCTCAAACCGCTGGACTCAGGCAATCCTTTTGCCTCAACCTCCCAAAGTGCTAAGGTTATAGGCATGAGTCACCACGCCCAGCCACTCTTTTCTCTCTTTTAAAAAAATAAAATAAGCCGGGCTCAGTGGCTCGGCCTGTAATTCCGCGCCTTTGGGAGGCTGAGGTGAGTGGATTGCCTGAGCCCGCGGGTTCGAGACCCACCTGGGCAGCGAGACCTCATCTCTACAATACATCAAAAAATCAGCTGGACGTGGTAGCGCATGCCTGTAATTCCAGCTACTTGGAAGGCTGAGGCAGAAGGATTGCCGGAGCCCAGCAGGTTGAGGCTGCAGTGGCCGCAGGCGGCCACTGCACTCCAGTCCGGGCGACAGAGTGAGACTCCAACTCAAAAAAATAAAATAAAATATACCTTTATTTTACAGAAAATATTGGTTTCCAGGGTCACATGGGACTAGATGAATATGTTGAAAACTTCATTGCCTAGTACCTCTGAATGAGTGTGCAGAGATAGGCATACTGGAAGCTGACACAGGGTGCTCGGGGATGGGTCCTGGGAACCTGGTGCCCATTCAGAGATGTCGGGACATTCTAGAGAGCCAACAGGGCAAGCCCCTCAGGGGTCTCTTTGTCTAAGGAAACAAAGGTATTTTCCTGTGTTTTTTTGTGTATTTGACCTAAGATTATACTTGGGGACTGAGTGGGAAAGAAAGCTCTGTCCCCTCCACTAGATACAAATAAAGAAAAGGAAATGAACCACACAAAGAATTCAAACATACTGGAGTAGAGATGCAGTGCATGCAGTACATGGAGTTTGCACCACCAAGAGCTGTAATAATTATAAAATCATTTGAAAGAGACTTTTTTTTTTTTAGATGGAGTCTGTTTTGCCCAGGCTGGAGTGCAGTGGCACGCTCACGGCCACTGCAGCCTCAATCTACTGGGCCCTGGCGATCCTTCCACCTCAGCCTTCCAAAGTGCTGGGATTACAGGCATGAGCCACTGTGCCTGGCCCTGAAAGAGACTTTCAGATGAGTATGCTTAACATGTCTGAAAAGATAAAAGAAACTGTAGAAACTATAAGGTAAACCAAGATAGTTTAAAAAATAATAGGCAGACTGGGAGCAATGACTCACACCTGTAATCCCAGCATTTTGGGAGGCTGAGGTGGGAGGATTGCTTGAGCCCTGGTGTTCAAGGCCAGCCTGGACAACATAGCCAGATTCTGTCTCTATAAAAAATAAAAATAATCAGGCATGGTGGCATGTGTCTATAGTCCCAGCTACTCCAGTGGCTGAGATAGAAAGATCACTTGAGCCCAGGAGGCCAAAGCTGAGCCTCGATTGCAGCACTCTCCACTTCAGCCTTGGTAACAGAGTGAGACCCTATCTCAAAAAAATGATGATAATAGGTAGATTTGAAAAAGAACAATATTAATATTGATAAACATTCCAGAAGTGAAGAATAAGTCACTGAAACAAACGTCATGGACTTCGCAACAACTTGGATGGAGTTGGAGGCCATCATACTAAGTGAACTATCACAGAAACAAAGAACTGAATACCGAATGTTCTCACTCATAAGTGGGCCCTGAACACTAGTCACATTAGCACAAAGGCAGGATTGGCAGTCACAGGGAACTGTTTTCTTTTTCTCCCAGCAAATTTTGGGTTTATTTTTTTGTGGAGATGACTTCTCATTAATAGTTGCCCAGGCTTGTCTCAAACTCCTGGGCTTAAGCAATGCAGGGCATGGTTAGGCGAGGGAAAAGGGTGGGAGGTACGTGACAACACAAAGGATACCTAGTCCACTACCAGAGGGAGTGAGGGACAGGTAGAAGCCCAGACTTCACCTGCATGCAGCCTACTTATGTAGTTAATCCTCACTTGTACCCCACAACTCTATAATAAAAAAACTTTTTAAAGAAAGGCACCATATATATTAAAAAAGAAAAAACTTCAGTACATAGGTTTAACAGAAGACCAGACATAACTAAAGGGAGAGTTAGTAAACTGGAAGACAACTAACGGACTTATTTAGAATGCAGCATAAAGAGAAAAAGAAATTTAGAATGCAATGTAAAGAGGAAAATATGAAAGAAATGATAGGATAGAATGAAATGCTTCAAAATGTGCCTAATCAGATCCAAAAGAGAGAATAAATGGGGAGAGGCACTACCCAGAGGAAGACTGAGTCCTTCAGGATTTGACAGACACAACAACTCTTCAGATTTAAAGGGCACATTGAATCCTTCATAGTGTAATAACACAGATCCACACAAGTGAAACTGTAGAACACTGAGCACAAAGAGAGGCCTACGTGGCGAGGAACTAAGGGTAGCCTGCAACTCACAGCCATCAAGGAACTGAATCCTGCCCATAACCACATGAGTTGGAAGCAGACTCTGCCCCAGTCGAGCCCCTAGATGAGACCATTAGCCAAGGGACACCTTGATGACAGTCTTGTGACATGAGAATCAGCCAGAGGACCCACCTATGGCACACCTGCATTCTTGACCCCCAGACACTGATAATTGTTTTAAGTCAGTTAAGTTTTGATGTAATTTGTTACACGGCAACAAATAACTATGTACATAAACTAAACATTACATATATATATATGTACAGCTTATAATACACAAACTATATAGCAGTTAAAAAACCAAAATAGAGCTACAGATGTCAACTGGGAAAAAGCTTAGGAAAATATTGAATGAAAAGGCAAAGTTGCACTCTGACATAATTTGTATACAATTTTTTGATTCTCAGTACACTATTGTTCATATAAAAATAGGAACATTAAAATGTTCAGGGAGTAGACAAAGGCTAGTTGTGCAATACTAACTAGCCTCCTGGTGTTCACACAAACTAGGAAACTAAAAGCTTTTCCTCTCAACTCCCTGGCACCTAGGCTTTCATAGCTCACTGAGGTTCTCCTGGCAGGTGGCATTTGCCCAAGACACTGATTTAGAACTGAGTCATCAATGTAGAAAAGCAAGGTCAAGTTCCAGTGTCAGAAATGGCATTCTGGACTCTGTGGTTGTAGCGGTGGCTTCCTGATTGTGGCAGAAGCTACAGGGCCCTGGAGCTACTACCACAACCTTGGCAGTCTGGCTCCGAGGTGTGGCTTAGGAAGACTTTCCAGGAAACTCACTCAAGAGCCTATTCCTGCAGCTCTTCCACTAATCAATCCCTTTGGCTTAAATTAGCTAGAGGAGTTCTCCAGTCTCCAAGATGAAGGGCTCTGACCAAGACCAAAAGCATACACCCCAGCTGCACAATGGCAGTTACCTATAGAGGTTGAGGAGGGGTCTGATACTGCAGAAACCTGCAAATAGCTGTACATTTTCTATTTTTTGAGAGAAAAATATATAAAGCAGATACAGCAAAATATTAACATTACGTTGGGTGGCAAGTATGTTGGTTCTTAAAGAAATATTATATTTTGTACGTGGAAATATTTCAGTCTTTTTTTTTAAGTGTGGAGGTCCTGAGTGGTGATGAGGCAATGAGGAGGATATTTTATCTTTAAGTAGATTTCTATGTAGTACATAAAACAGGGAAGCCATATGAGAAAACAACAATAAACTCAACCGTAAAAATCAAAAGTTTATATGCTAAGTTACAATAAGTCAAAAGAAACAAAAAATGTTTGTAATTCATTTTACAAAATGCTTATTCTCACAATACTGACTTTTAGAAACTTTGTTTAAGAAAATGAACCATACAGTAGGAAAAAATAGGAAAATAGTGTGAACAGAAAGTTTGTAGAAAAGAAAAGTTTCAGACAAGTGCGGTGGCTCAAATCTGTAATCCCAGCACTTTGGAAGGCTGAGGTGAGAAAATTGCCTGAGCCCACAGGTTCGAGACCAGTCTGGGCAACTTGGCGAGATCTCATCTCTACAATAAATCAAAAAAAAAAAAAAATTAGCCAGGGGTGGTCGCATGCACCTGTAGTTCCAGCTACTTGGAAGGCTGAGACGGAAGGCTCGACACTGGGGTGGCCATGAGTGTGTGACTGCACTCCAGCCTGGGCAACAGAGTGAAACTTCAACTCAAAAAAAAGAAAAGTTTCTTAAAGTTTATGCTAAATTTCACTGATAGTAATTGAAATGCAAATTAGAGCCAATTTGATATACTTCTCACCTTTAAAATGAGTAAAGAACAAAAAGTCTGGTAAGGTAAGTTAATATATTTGCAACCTGCAAATTTTTCACTTTCCTAATACTGAGAGCAGGTGAACCAAGAAAAAAATCTGTCCAGACTACAGTCCTCCGTTCTACCTACTGAGCTATCGAAGGGCACACGGCCGGGCTCGGTGGCTCAGCCTGTAATCACAGCACTTTGGGAGGCTGAGGCAAGTGGATTGCCTGAGCTCACGGGTTCGAGACTCGCCCAGGAAACTTGGCAAGACCTCGTCTCTACAATAAATCAAAAATTAGCTGAATGTGGTAGTGCGCGTCTGTAGTTCCAGCTACTTGGAAGGCTGAGATGAAAGGATCCCCGGAGTCGAGATTGCGGTGGCCGGGAGCATGCCACTGCCCTCCAGCCTGAGTGACAGAGTGAGACTCTGACTCAAAAAAAAAAACCTGAAGCTGGTTGCTGCAAACTTCTGTCGTTAAGCACAAGTGAAATGGTCTTATCTAAATTGTCACCTTTTTCACAATACGGCTGAAAGTTGCAGACATATCCAGTATTTGCCTCAGACACCAGTCTGACTAGCATTTC